CAATATTCCAAATTGAATATGTGCTTTTTATAATTCTGAGTAAAATATATTTGTATAAACTAATTTCAAAGACATAAGGAATAAAATAAACTTATGGCAACCAAGTGTCAACACTAGTTAGTATTTTAAAAAAGTAATAAAAACCAATTGAAAAATAAATTCAAGTTATTGCACATATGCTCACTAAAACATCAAAAAGTTTGTATACTTTTTTGAAATATCCTTCAAGTCTCATTATGCAGTTCTTCTTCAAGTCTCCGATTTTTCTTGATATTCTTTCCTCCTATCTTCTGTAACATTTACAAACAATTTATATTGCAGAGTATTCTATTTCTTTGTTTTGTGTGTAGTTTATAAGATTTTAGCCTTATGTTATTTCTATAGCTCTTAGCATAGTACTGAACCTACAGTATGTCAATTTTTAGGGAATGGGAGTCAGGTAAACTATTAGTCTTAAAATTTTCATCATGTTGTATGTAAACTGAAAAATACTTATTTCAACCAAAGTAGCAATAAATTTCAAGCAATAAAATTCAAAATATTTTTTCATAACTAGTTGTAAACTATTTTATGGAAGACGAGATTGATTCAGAGATTAAGAGGCCTGTAGGCCGGGTGCGGTGGCTCACGCCTGTAATCCCAGCACTTTAGGAGGCCAGGGTAGGGTGAATCACTGAGTTCAGAAGTTTGAGACCAGCCTGACCAACATGGTGAAACCCTGTCTCTACTAAAAATATAAAAAATTAGCTGGACATAGTGGCAGGTGCCTGTAATCCCAGATACTCAGGAGGCAGAGGCAGGAGAATCGCTTGAATCCAGGAGGCGGAGGTTGTGATGAGCTGAGATTGTGCCACTGCACTCCAGCCTGGGTGACAGAGCTAGACTTTTGTCTAAAAAAAAAAAAAAAAAAAAGAGGTGTGTAATAGAAGTAGAATATATCTGAAAAGAGATGCACTATAGATAATACAGACTTGGGAATTTTGGTTTTTGTTCGTAAAGAACACTTTTCTGTAACAAGTTCTGAGTATATTATAAAATTTTGAGATTCAGCACAAAACTTGAAGTTGTAGTTTGGGAGTCCTTGAACTTTAAGTCTCTGTAGTAATTTTTGGTGTAACCAGAAATTTTCAGAAGCATTCCAAAGGATTGGGCGCAAATCAATATTTAAGGAATTTGAGAAAATCTTATATCGCTTTTATATCGGTCTAGAGTGGAACTAAACAGTCTTAAAAAAAAAGAATCCCAATGTAAGAATCACTTAAGAACCACAACAATAAGTTAGCCCAGCCTTGAGGTTTGTTGACAGGGCTGTCTTCTACTTCAGGACCCTGTAGGCTATTATAATAGCTGATATTTGACTGTTTCAAATTTTGTTTCTCCTGCCTATTGAAACAATTCTTCTTTTCATATTTATTTAATACTAGCTGTATACCACTTACTGTGCACATTTGGCACTGTAGAAATCAATATGAATAAGACAAATATGTCTCTTGCCTTCACATAACTTTCTTTCTAATAGGGGAAATAGAAAAGTGAACCACTATAAATAAATAGCTTAAAAAGCAGTGATTATAAATTTTCACTGTAAATGCTCATAAACAAGGAAATATTTGGGGTTTATAAAATTTTTTAAAAATGTTATCTAACTCTAATACATGATCAGGATTATTTCATGGAAAGAACACTATGTAGTGTGATGCCTTTGTATTCTTGGCTCTCATTAACTGGTTGTATGACAATGAATTAATTTTAAAAAGATCATAATTTTTATATACATTAATTGCAGACAAATTGCAAGTGAGAAGAAAGCAATAGTCTGTTTGCATAGAGCTTGAGGTTTAAAGAGGGGAGATGTTAACAAATAACTTATTGCAAATATATGGGCATTGCTACTATTAACATAGCTCATTGGATAATAAGGTCCTCTTCATCTCTAAGATTTCATGATTCTAAAAGTTTATTCACGAATTAGAAAAGAATATTTAGAGTTTTATATGTTAATATATAGAGCTAGATATGCTGGTATTTTAAATAATTATAATAATAGTGATGTGAATACTAGGTGACACTGAACAATT